CTTTTCTCTCTCTCTCTCTCTCTCTCTCTCTCTCTCTCTCTCTCTCTGTCTCTTTTCTTTTCTTTTCTTTTCGTCTCCATCACGGTTATGATGATACCAGAGTGGTACTGGTTTCTGCGACCCACGATGTATTTTTCGCGACAAAGGGGAGACATTTCGCGGGGAGAAAGAAAGAGAAAAAAAGAAAAAAGGAAAAAAAATAGGGGAGGATAGAAAATCCGAAATTCTGCGCGTCCGTTTCACGTTCAGCGTGTTCGCAACAAGAAGAACAATTACGACAAGCGCGAAACCAAAGGAGGCAAAGGAGGAAAAAGAAGAAAATCTGAACTTTGGTACGTGTCAACAACAAGAACAATTATAATAACCGCGAAACTTTATCCATAGAAGATTCGTATCGCATCAAACCGATTCGAAACTTCTCTCTCTGTCTTCGCTTGTGGAATGACAAGTCTCTCTCTCTCTCTTTCTCTCGATGACACTTGGCCCGTTGTTTATGTTCGAGAAAGTTAAGGGAACGAAACTGTGTCAGCCGCGAATATTGCAAGTTGCCACATATATACCCATCATCGTAATCGAAACTTTGGATCCGTACACGTACACGCGGCAATTTCGTCTCGTTTCATTCCGTTGTTATCGATCCGTCTACAATCTATATAATTGCATTTCTTCGAAATAACTTTTACTCGTTGTTTATTTATTTTGTTTATTTATTTATTCGTTCGTTCGATCGAATTCGAATTGGAACGAATTCGGCGAGAAAAATCCTCTTTTTCCTCTTATCGATAGATACACCTTTCGCTTGGCGCCAGCCTCGAATCGAATCGAATCCGATAGAAGGGAAGCTCCGCGGGGGGCGTTAAGACGAGTGATGACTGCATTTCGTGTGCCAAGACGGTCATTTGCAATAAAGCATCGCGCCACTGCGGCGAATCTTCGATATTCAATCGATAAAATCGTACGTCGGTATCGAGACTCGTGGCGCGCTCTTGGCATCGAAACTATCAAACACATAGTTGCCACGTCGAAAAACGTGGTTGCCACGCGCAGCGATCGTTCCATACATATATTATCGTCCCTTTTCATAATAGCAACGGATATAAAAATTCGAAACGTCAAGTTTTTTGAAACAATTTGGACCGACATCAAGTCGCAAACATTCGAAAACATTCCAGAGTCGTTGGAAGGAAGACACGATTCGCCTCGTTTGTTCTCTAATTGCGCGTGTTATTAAGGGGGATCCTCGTAGAACTCATTTTTTGCTGCCCTCTGTTTAAACGAACTCCGTTTAAACGAGGGGTTGTTTACTTGTTCGCACTGGATCCAAGAAACGTTGGCGAAAACACACGTGAAAAATTAAAATTAAATTACGTGTATAATATAATCGAACGCGTATTCTAAACTTCCGTTATCCATCCTTCTTTAAAATTAAAGTTGATCGTTTCGACCGATTAATTACAATTTTATATAATTTTACGTATTATATTTCAACGCGTTGAACGTAACACGCATTCTAAACTTCCATTATCCGTCTTCCTTTAAAGTTTTGATCGTTTCGACCGATTGATTACAATTTTATAATTTTACAATCTCTTTGCCACCTTATTTTACCCGTAATATTTCAACGCCTTGAACGTAACACGCAACGAAATTGCAACGATGAATGGCCCAAAGATAAGCGGAATATCTCAAGTGGCTAAGCAAAGGAATCGTGGAACAAAGCGGTGTTGACGATGTTAACGCATTTCGCGCCATATAGGGAGGCGCGACAGCTCGTTAAACGTAACCGTAAGATAAATGGATGCATTCGTTAAATAATAGGCATACGAGGGATTCCCTCGTAGAAATGTGAAGACACGGAACAAGAGATTTCGTATATAGGCGAGATTAGCGCGTGGTTGCGCACATCACGTCGTTCGTACGCGAATTATATGCGACTGCACGTGCTACTGAACCCGTGACACTGAAAAGCGCGATATTGTGTCTTGATGCATGCGCGCGTTTATATCGCGAAAGCCAATTCGCGCGACGCGTCGAGAGGCTTCCCCCTCCCATCTCACGGTTACACGCTTCCCCCTCCTCCTTCTCCACCATTCGCGATATTTCACCATCAAATAAAACGCGATAAAGATAGGACGCGCCCTTTTGAACGAATGGAAGATTGAAACTTGAAAATTATTTTCAAGGGAGATAAAATCTCCGATCTGAAATCCGAATTAACAATTAATTAACCAATCTCGATCGCGTCCGTTTTTTCTTAATTTTTAAAATCTGGCGAATAATCGCATCGCATCGTTGTAAAATCTTTCTCCCTGATTAATTTCCTGTAATTTCCTCGCACGAGGAGCGAGAAACAATATATTGGAGAGTTTTTCCTTTTTATACAATTTCGCGATTCGTCGATCGCCAATGCGCGAAATCACGTGTCGCTCGAGGGGGATTCGATATTAACGATTTTCGGGGAGATAAAGTATTTCCTCATTAATTCGAATGTAACGTTATTAACTACACGGTAGTTTCGCGTTTCGATTCCGCTTCGACGCGATGTTCACTTGGACGAGTTTCCAGCGAAAATGCAAATTTCATTAAACGAGGCTCGCTAATGCCCGAATATTATTATTGTATATATATATATACATCTCGTGACCTCGTGATGAGCATTCGATTCACAATAATAAATAATAGAAGGGACGAAGGCGGAAGAGAAAATTGGTGGGTAAAATTTCACGGGTCAAAATTTCGATCCATTCACGTCTAATTAATTTCCTCCGTACTAACGTTTTGTTATTTTTTTACTTTTTTTTAGTTGTTCCTGTCGTCACTCTGAAAATGGGCACATCGTTGAATCCAAAGAACATCAAGGAAGGGGACGACGTTTACTTCGAGTGCAACGTTAGGGCGAATCCTAGGGCTTACAGATTGACATGGTTTCACGAGGTATTTTTTTCCCCTCCTACTTTTACGCGAGTTTTTCTCTCATTCAGGAAAAAGGATAAAAATTACGAAAAT